AAAAATATATAAATATATTGAAGTTGAAAAGAGAAAATTTCTTATAGAAGCACCCAAGAAGCAAAATAATGTTGCATCAATGAATTTATGGGTTGACAATGATATTATTATTATTATTATGTTATATTCTGTTTTTTTATGTATATACAAAATAAAAAAAATTTTTTTGTACACATTTAATTTGTATCACATGATTTGATCATAAGTTTCGATTTAGCGGATCTCTCGATCTAACGGATAAATTTTCTGGAAAAAAATATCCGTTAAATCGAGACTCACTGTGTAGTAAGGTGAGTTACTCCTTATATATCAAGGTATTTCCCCCTAATTTTATAACTGTCTATTCATACCCAGAATTAGATAAGTCAGGTAGATTCTCAAACATAGCAATTTTTGCACATAATTCATCCTGTTTTTTTCTGTGATAATTCTCTCTACTTTGATATTTGCCTACATGTTTATAGCATGCATTATGTATAGAACTATTTAGCTCACCACAATCTCTACAAGGAGTATGTACTGGAGATTTACAATGAATATAGCATCCTTTAGGATGATAACATCCTCGACCACAGATTTTTCCAGTTCTGTGAATATATTGGCAATGATATAATGCCATTGGGTTTTATTGTTTTTGTATATAATAATTACTTCAATCAAATTTATATTATTTGGGCGAACTTGGTTGCTGAAATTTTTGGAATAATTAATTTTATTTTAAAGATTTATCTATTAATTATTATAGTTTCAAAATAATAATACATATATTACTACATATACTTTTTGTCAGATCAAACAATGCATATATACAAATCAATAAAATGAGTTTGTCTAGTGAAGCAAAAAAACTTTTATGTGAATCATTACATCAACAGTGTCTAAATCAAAAGTTGGCCAAATATAATGAAGCAAAAAAGCTTTTCATAGGTTTAACAGATCTTAACTATAAACCTGGCCATAGAAATCATACATATTATAAATATTTGCTTTCATCCAATAATAAAAATGATACTGCACTTTTAGAAGCATACCATCCTGAAGAGATTTATTTTCAATATATTATCCAGATAGGAGAAAAAGGCTTTACATTAGTTGAACATCCTTCTGAAGTTTATAAAATACTTGATTCCCACGAGTGTATTGACGGAAATCAACCTCTTCGCCCAATACTTGATATTGATGCCAGACAGAAACCTGATCCCACCAATTCTGAACTACCTTCCTTAGATAGTGAAAAAATTTCTCATGAAGATTTAATGTCTAAAATATTGATTGCTTATATAGATGCATTAAGTCTTATACCAGAATGTATGCCTTTCTTGCAATCTTTTGCATTAGCAAGTTCATCAAATGCTAATAAATGCAGTTGGCACATTGTTTATTCTCATGCCCAATTTATTGACTATAGAGAACTTAAAGGCTTTACGAAAAAAGTTATGGAATTAGTAGGAGAGCCATATTCTAAATTCGTTGATGTTGGCCTTCCCAAATCACGTTTTAATCTTCGATTACTTGGATCAGCAAAAGAGAATAGAGTTAAAAGACTAGCCATTTCATCAGTTAAGA